GAGAGAGAGAGAGAGAGAGAGAGGCAGGCCTCTGGGCCTCAGTTTCCCCTCAGTAAAATAAAGGAATTGGCCTAGATAACCCCCCCAGCAAATTAGGGATGTATAAGGACCCATGGAAAGTGGTCAGGAATTGCACACGAGTCAGATCTGCGTGCTAGCTTTGACTGGCTAAGTGCCTCTGTTTCCCTAGCCGGGAGAAGGAGCTTGCTAACCAGAGGGCAGTTCATTTCTAGCGCTCCAGTCCTAGGAACTCCCTAACACTCTGCTCCCAGACTTTGCCAGACGTCAGTCAGAAGGCTTTGAAGGCTGCCCCCTGCTTCTCCAGATAATGCCCAGGGAAGGTGGTGGTAACGGCCAGGTGATGAAGCTGGAGTGGAGGCCCCGGAGGCAGCCCAAACCCAAGTCCCCCTCGAAGGCTGCCTGCCATCCACCACAAGGAGTCCCCCAGAAAGCAGTTGAGTGGGGCGTGAAAGCTCGAACCCGGACCCCAAGCGGAGTTTCAGCCTTGAAGCATCTAAGCTAGAAGCCGTCTGGTTCAACCATTCCATTTCACAGATAAGGCCACTTTCCCAAAGTCATACGATGACCGGGAACTCAAACCAAACTCTTTGGTGTCCCAGCCAAAGCTCGGAGCTTCGGGGAAGTGGGGTGGGGGAGGGAAGGGAATGGGGGGGGGGAGCAGAGAAGCGAAGGGGAGCACAGGGTGTAGGCACGGGCTGGGGGCAGAACCGAAAGGCAGGGAGGGAGGGGAGCATGCAGCGATGCAGACGGCAGGCGGAACGTGTAGACACCCGGAGGGCAGGCAGGGAGGCCAGGGTGTCTCCCCCAGCCCCCAGGACGCGCACACACTCCGCCCGCGTAAAACAGGTGGGTAGCTGTGAAGCGGCAGGCACGTGGGAAGTCGCCCGGGCTCCCGGCCGCGGCTGAGCCGCCTTACCCTGAGCTAGGGGTGCAGGGAGCCGCCCGCCCGCCTGCCTGGCACCAGCTCCTCGGAGCAGCGGCAGAAGCAGCTATAGCGGGCTGAGCACGCGGAGCCGCCTGGAGTCCTGCCGGCGGAGGGGCGGGCCGCCTCGAAGAGGTTGGACCAGATTCTGCCCCGCGGCGGGGCGAGCTGACCCCTGGAGTCCCCGCGGGCCAGGGTGGGGACCCCGGGGGCGGGGCCAGGCGCGCGGTCCGGGTGGCGCGGCCAATCAGGGGCCCGGAGCCGGGAACACACCACCACTTCCAGATCCCACCCACCCCTTCCCTCGGGGAGGGAAACCCCCGATCATTGACCTCGGCTGAGCCGCAGCCAGCGAGGGCTCCCAGGGAGCAATTAGCGGGGCTGGGGGCACCCGAGGGAGGGACCGCGGGAGGCGGAGTGGAAGGGGTGTGGGCGCAGCGTTCAGACCTGGAAAGACCCCCTGAGCTCAGCTAGCACCACTGGCAGCTGGATGGCTCAGGGGGTAGAGCCCTGGGGGCAGGAAGACCTCGTGTGTGTGACCCTGGGCAAGTCACTTAACCTCTGCCAGCCATAAGGCACTGGAGAAGGAAATGGCAAAGCACCCCAGCATTTTTGCCAAGAAAACCCCAAATGGGGTCCCAGAAGCACGAGTAGACAAGGACAGCTCAACCCTTTGGTGGGGGACATTGCCTCCTCAGAATAATGCCTTTACATAATTGAAAGAAACGCTCAACTTCCGTCAGAGAACAGTGAAAATAAAGACGTCATTTTTTTTTTCTAATCCAAGTTCACAGACCTGTCTCAGTGTGTGGGCCTTAACAACTAACTTAACAGGTCAAGTGACTTGCCCAGGGTCACACAGCTAGTAAGTATCTGAGACCAGATTTGAACCCAGGAAGATGAGTCTTCCTGACTCCCAAGTCTGACGCTCTATTTATTGTCGCGCCTATCTCCAGTTTATCCTGGCTATATCTTCTTTGGTCCTAGTCGTTTTCCTGTTGCCTCCCCCGTTAGATTGTAAACTCTCTGAGGGCAGGATTTTTCTTCTGCCTTTTGTTGCATCTTCAGCTCTTAGCTCAGCGTCTGGCACATAGTAGGCGCTTAATAAATGCTTAGTGATGGGCTGACTTTTGTAGGCTTACAAAGGCTTTCCTCAGCAGATTCCCCAAGTGTTATTGTCCCCATTTTGCAGATTAGGTAACCAAGAAGGGAAGGGGGTTGGGGTCACATGCCTGGTGTCAGAAAAGGAATTAATAACATGCCCAAACCCAAGACCATGTGACCCATCCTTGATCTCCCAACACCCGCCAAGCGGTAGCAATAGCAGTGCTAAGATTCTTAGCGTCTTTTTACAAGAGGCTAGAAGCTGTGGGTGGTGGGTCTGACCGCAAGAGTTAGAGGCTTAATAATTACCATTTAGGGACACTTAGCAGCAGCACCAGTAAAAGCCTCCAGAATGGGGGGAAACTGAATTTGAAAAGACAGGACGTTGCATCATTTCCTGTGCTCTTCCCCAGCCCCTTCCATTCCCGGCAAACGGGACATCCCCGACCCAAACTCACCCGCGTCAGGGCCAGGGCAGGAGGAAGTTTCAATGGCAAGACGTGTCTACGTTTGGAAAACTACTCCCTCAGCAACACCACTGGGGGACTGTTTGCTAGACGTCCTAACTGCTCCCAAGTGCCCTGGAGTACCTGGGGAGACACGCAGGTCTCTAAGGCAACCGAGGCGCCAGGTCCTTGGGCTTCTGGGAAGGCTTCGCCCTCGTCGGTCTCAGAAGCACTCTGCCAACTCCTGGACGGCCCTTGGCACTTACTTACTGACAAAGCCAAGGCCACCAGGCACAGACCTGCTACCTTGTATTTAAATGACCGCTAAGGCTCTGGAGGGAAGCCTTAATGTATATTGCTAACCAGCCTTAAACTTTCACTTCCCCTAAGGTGGGAGAGGATGATTTTGTCTTTGACCTGTTAGTGGAAAACAAGGGGTAAAATGTTTAATCGCTAGTGAATTTTTAAAAAGCAAAATTCAGTTTAATTAGTGAATTTAAATGGAGAACATGAGCCCCATTCCCAATCATAATTACTGCATACATAGTCTCAAACCTAATTACTGTATACATGATATATATACACACAGAGACATATCTATACACAGAGACATATACACACAAAAAGACATATATGTACACTCACAGTCATACACACACACACACACACACACACACACACACACACACACACATATTTATATATGGCAGCTAGGTGACCCAGTGGATAGAGCTCTGGGCCAGGAGTCAGGAAGTCTCATCTTTCTGAGTTCAAATCTGATCTCAGACACTAGCTGTGTAACCCTGGGCAAGGCACTTAACTCTGTCTGCCTCAGTTTCCTCATCCATAAAAAATGAGCTGGAGAAGGAAATGGCAAACCATTCCAGTGTCTTTGCCAAGAAAACCCCAAGAGGGGTCACAAAGCATTGGACACAATTAAAAAACGACTGAACAGCAACAAATACATATGACCATATGTACACAGTATGAATTCTTTATAGCTTGAAGTTGGTGGGTGGCTCTGTGTGTGTGTGTGTGTGTGTGTGTGTGTGTGTGTGTGTGTGTGTGCAGAGAAAGGAGAGTATAAGAGAAATGCCACAAAGGTAGAAATGACAAAATTTGACAACAGGTTGGATGAGTGAGAATGAAGAGAGAGTCCCTGGGGACACAAAAGGCACTGGGCTAACTGCTAGGTGTTGGGGCAGAGACTCGGAATTGGAATTCAAGTTCATTTTAACAAACATTTATTAAGCATGTGCAAATGCACTAAGAGGTGGGAATACAGGAAGGAAAGAAACATTTATTAAACACTTAATATGTGCCAGACACTATGCTAAGCGCACTTTACAAACAGTATCTCATTTGGGCCTCCCGACAACCCTGTTATTATTATCCCCGTTTTCAGATAAGGAAACCGAGGCAAAGGGCACATTTGAACTCAGATCTTTCTGACTCTAGGCCCAGAATTCTATCCACTGGGTCACCTAGCTGCCTCCATACAGATATAAAACAGTTAATGCCACTTTCAAGGAAAACTTATGCCCAAAGAGGGCATGGTCATCTGGGTGAAAGCCTGCAGGGGGTGGGGGTGGGAGTGGAGGGCAGGAAGGATGAGGACTCAGAAAAGCTCAAAGGCTTTGGTGATTAAGAACTCGTTGTTAACCTTTGAGAGAGAAAAGTGATAATTTAGTGGTGGAATGAGAGGCCAGATGGCTGGAGGCTAAGAAGTTTGTGGACAGTGAGGACTTGAAGGCGAGAATTTTGCTGGGAATGAGAAGAGGGTGATAGGATAATCTCTTGATGTGACAGGGGCATTTGAAGAGATTTTTTAATTTAATTTTATAAAAATTCCGGACAAAGCTAGCACCAAAAAAACATTTCCATATATAAAGTTTGACAGAAAAAGAGAATTACATACAAAACGGTGACTCTCTATTACATACGGCTTGCTTTTTATAGTAGATGATAAATTCAACGCATGATTTCCAAAGATGTCTTACTTGTCTGTGTTTCTTTACATATTTCCTTCTGTTCTTCTGGACATTTTAAAAAATGCTTCAATCACCCTCTTTTCTCATCCTCTTCCTCCTCTTCCTTCCTTTTTGTAACACTATAGATAGCTCCCCTACTCCTTCAAGTCAAAAAAGAAAGAAAAACATAATCTTTGTAACAACCATAGTCAAGCAAAATCAATCCACACGTTGGCCGCCATGTCCGAAGATGTCTGTCTCCTTCTGCACCTTGAGTGCACTTTCCCTCTGTCAGGAGGAGAGAAGCATACCCCACCACTAGTTTTTCATTGCATTGATCAGAACTCTGAAATGGAAAGGTTTGGGGGAGGTTTTTTTTTTAATTTTTTTTTTAGGAATAGAGAGACTTAGGTATGTTTTGTAGACATCAGGAAAGGAACCAGGAATTAAGGAGGGATTGAAGATGAGAGAGATGGAGACAGAGAGAGAGACAGAGAAAGAGAGAGAGAGAGATTTCCAGGGGGGAAAGGCATGAAAGAAATAAATGAGGTTGGCCTTGACTAGGAAAAAGGCCACCTCTTCAGAGAATGTGGCAAAGTGGAGAGAGAATAGTAAAGGAGTTTTTCATTTTATTTAATGTAAAATGTAGAATAAGAGGAGAAGAAAGAAGTCATAAGAGATGGCCACTATTTTCACAGTATTCTAGAAGTGATCTGACCATGACAAGGTACAGTGGAACACCCTCAACTCCCTGCTTCTGAATATTAATATCAATGCCTTGATTAAGATACTCTATGGTCACAGCACTTTTTTTTTGTCTGTCATATCATACTGCTGGTGGGCAAAGTAGATAGAGTGCCAGGGCTGGAGTCAGGACCAGAGTTCAAATGTGACTTCAGAGACATTAACTGTGTGACCCTGAGCAAGTCACTTCACCCCGTTTGCCTCAGTTTCCTCATCTGTAAAATGATCTAGAGAAGGAAATGGCAAACTAGTATCTTTGCCAAGAAAACCCCAAATGAGGTCACAAAGATCAGATGTGACTGAAACAACTGGACGACAAAATCACCCTGCTGACTTGTATTGAGTTTGCGGCACAGAAACACCCCCAGCTCTTTTCCAGATGAATTCCTTAGCCATGTACCTCCCTCCCTTGTATTTGTGAAGTTGATTTTTTTTAACTTGAGTGCAAGATCTATATTTGCTTTGATACTTTCATAGAACTCATCACCATGTAGATCACAAACCATCCACACTCTCTCACTCCTTGGTCATTTTCCCCCATAAATCCTCCACAACATGCTGAGGGCCTTTATCCAGCTTTCTTGGCCGTATTTGAACAGCACATGCCATTCATAGTTATCCCTCGGTATTACCACAGGACTAGCCCACCTGCTTTTCCAGTCACATATTTATTTATCTGATAGCCACATGCCATTTCTGTTACACAGTTCTTCCTTGAAGCCCTGACTTCAACGTTCTTGAAGAATGTTGTTGTTTAAAAAATAAAAAGTGAGTCTTTGTTTCTGGGAGAAGCTGGGTGGGGAGGGTGTCATTAAAGGTACTAAAACCCTCCAGGTC